AAGTCGATACCCCAGACATAAAAAATCTCACAAGTTATAAACACATTCTGGGGAATCTCATCACGGGCAGAGATGTTACCTGACCTCTGGAATCGGTCGCACCTGCGTGCGAAGGCGTCTGCGTCCTTGAAGAGCGTGGGCCAGTAGAAGCCCGACTGGAGCACCTTCCTCGCCGTGCGGTTTCCTCCGTGGTGACCGCCACCGGGTCCTTCATGACAGTGAGATAGAATGCCCTCCATCTCACTCTCCATAACAAATCGACGGATGATCCCGTCGGCTCCGATCCTGAAGAGATGAGGGTCATCCCAGAAGTAGTACTTCAGGTCGGAGAAAAACTTCCTCTTGGCGTGAGTTGTCATCCCCTTGGGCAGCTGCTGGCCCACAAGATAATTTGCAAAATCAGAATACCAGGGGGTGACACTCTCCACCAGGCACATCATCATCAGTCTCTCATCTGGAAAGGAGTCATTGATCTCCTCCTCGAGGTTGTCCGCAGGGGGTGCGTCCAACCGGGAGAGGTGATCGGCAGCAACATTCTCCGCTCCCTTCTTGTCCCGAATCTCAATGTCAAACTCCTGCAGCAGTAAGATCCATCGTATGAGCCTAGGCTTGGCATCAGCCTTGCTCATCAAGTATCGAATCGCGGAGTGATCTGTATACACGGTCACATGGGACAAGACCAGATAAGGACGAAATTTATCGAAGGCAAACACCACTGCGAGCAGCTCCTTCTCCGTGGTGGTGTAGTTCTCCTGGGCATCATTCAAGGTCTTTGAGGCGTAGTAGATAGGTCGGAAATGCTGATCTCGCCTCTGCCCCAACACAGCTCCAACAGCAAAGTCACTGGCATCGCACATAATCTCAAATGGCAGGGACCAGTCAGGAACAACCATGATAGGAGCTTGTGTGAGCTTCTCCTTCAAGGTCGTGAAAGCCGCTGTGCATGCATCAGTGAACTTGAAGGGGGCATCCTTCTCTAGAAGCTTAGTCAGGGGCAGAGCAATCTTTGAGAAATCCTTGATGAACCGCCTGTAGAACCCTGCGTGACCAAGAAAACTCCGGATCCCCTTAACAGATGTGGGAGGAGGCAACTTGCTGATGGTCTCGATCTTCGCTCTGTCCACCTCAATCCCCATCTTGGAGATCTTATGCCCAAGAACTATGCCCTCTCGAACCATGAAGTGACACTTCTCCCAACTCAGTGCCAGGTTCGTTTCTTCACACCGTTTAAGGACAAGCTCCAGGTTATGGAGACAGTGAGAAAATGAGTCTCCATAAACCGAGAAATCTTCCATAAACACCTCCATAATCTCGCCGACCAGACGGTCAAAGATAGCGAGCATGCATCGCTGAAAAGTGGCCGGGGCATTGCATAGCCCGAATGGGATCCTCCGGTAGGCAAAGGTGCCGAAGGGGCAGGTGAAAGTGGTCTTCGCCTGGTCCTCCGGAGCAATAGGGATCTGGAAGTACCTGGACATCCCATCCAGGAAACAGTAGAACTCGTGCCCCGCCAGTCTCTCCAGCATCTGATCAATGAATGGTAGCGGGAAGTGGTCCTTCTGAGTGGCGTCGTTGAGACGCCGGTAATCAATGCAGACACGGTACCCAGTCACCGTGCGCATCGGGATCAGCTCATTCTTCTCGTTAGGCACCACAGTCATCCCACCCTTTTTGGGTACCACCTGGGTGGGACTGACCCACTCGCTGTCGGAAATGGCGAAGATGATCCCCGTGTCCAGCAGCTTCACGATCTCTGCCCGCACCACAGCCTCCAGGTTTGGTGTCAGTCTTCTCTGCGGCTGTCTCACTGGTCGCATCTCATCCTCCATCAGTATCCGGTGGGAGCAGAAAGAAGGGTTGATCCCCGGGATGTCTGTGATCTTCCATGCGAGAGCTCGCTCGTACCGCTTCAGCAAGGTCACCAGTCTGGTCTTCTGCTCGGGTGTGAGGGTCGAGCTGATGATGACTGGCAGCTTATTCCCCTCCCGGATAAATGCATACTCCAAATGAGGAGGGAGGGGCTTAAGCTCCAGCTCTGGTGGTTCCTCCAAGGAAGTAGCGATGCGGGTGGAGGATGAGATCGGTTTGAACAGCCTGTCGCCCTCCAAGAAGGGGCCACTCTCCAGCTCGGCCAACTGCTCCGCCAGCTGCGGCTCCTGCGATGCCTGCTCACCTAGCAAAATACAACGCTCAAGAACATCGTCAGTACCCGCACTCATTATAGCGAGTGCGGTCTCAAAATCAGCAAGCATATCACAGTAATCTATGTCATCATGCAAATGAGAGTGTTTCCCATTCTCAGACACAGAAAAGGTAGCCTGTTCATCACCAGCACGCAGAATCAATTTACCACTATGCACATCAATAAGCGCCTTGGCGGTGGCGAAAAATGGTCTACCTAAAATAAAAGGTACATCCACATCCTCATTTATATCCAAAATAACAAAGTCAACAGGATATGTGAATGCACCCACATTAACAAGCAAGTCCTCAATGATACCCCTAGGATGCACGATAGAAAGATCAGCTAACTGAATGCTCATCCTAGTAGTTCTAGGTTCACCTAGGCCTAGTTTCTTAAACAAATTATAAGGCATGACATTTATGCTAGCGCCTAGGTCCGCCAAGGACTTTCCTACATGCATGCTGCCAATAACAAGAGGGATAGTGAAACTCCCTGGGTCTTTTCGCTTCCCGGGCAGCTTGTTCTGCAGGATAGCAGAACACTCCTCGCTCAGCATCACTGTCGAAAGATCCCCAAGTTTCTTCTTGATGGTGAGGAGGTCCTTCGTGAACTTGGCATACTTGGGCATCTTTGACAGTGCCTCCACGAACGGCATGCTGATGTTGACCTGCTTCAACATTGCCATGAACTTGGCAAACTCAGTCTCCAGCTTGTCTTTATGCAGGCGAGTGGGGAAAGGAAGCTCAGGTACATGCTCCTTAACCACTGGTTGTGGCTTGGGAGCAGGCGTTGTTGTGTCTTCCCCCACTTCTGCAGTATCAGCTGGAAGTGTTGACGCAGGTAGTGGCTCATCTCGACTGGGCTGGGCAGGAGCAGCTGATGTGGTCTTGCCACTCCTGGTAGTGATGGCATCAAGCTGCTGGAGCAGGTGAGGATCACGAGGATTCGGAATAGTGGTGGCAGGCAAAGTCCCCGGTGCCCTGGTGGTGTTCTGGCGCGCCAAGATACCCACCTGGTTCTGCAGATCTTGCAAGATGGCACCCTGGTTCCGCTGACCTGCCTCCTGTGACGTGATAGCTGCCTGAGTGCTAGTCATGAATGAAGCTAGAATATTTTCCAGCTTCGTCATCTGAGTATCTGGAGCCGGAGCTGCTGCTGGCTCGGCGAACTGGCGCTGGGGTTGCTGGAATGGTTGCCCCTGCCTAGGCTGGTAGGGCTGCTGCTGTGGGGCTGGCCCCTGTCGAGCCTGGAAGGGCTGCCTCTGCTGAAAGCCACCAGCTGGTGCTGGGAAACCAGGTGGCTTAGTGGTGTTGCTGCCCCAAGAGAAGTTGGGATGCTGGCGCCACCCCTCATTATAGGTATTGCCGTACGGGTCGAGGCGCCGAGCATTGGCGATGAAGTCCAACTGCTCTTGGGGAGTAGTAGACTCCCTCATAGCCTGGTAGTCTTCCACTAAGTGATTCGAGCTCTCACACCTCTGACATTGAGCTACTGGAGGTGTAGCCACACCTCTGCCCAGAATAAGACTGTTGGGCTGCTTCAATGTCTGCACTAGCTCAGCTACCTGCTGCTCGAGCCCGGATCTGGTCTCCATGGCGTGCACACCTCGGTCCCGGGAATGTCTGCCTCTGCTGCTCTGTCCCCAAGAATGATCTCTGGCAGCCAAGGTATTGATCATCTGGTTCAGCTCGGGTGGAGTCTTAGTAAGAATATCCCCTCCTGGGCATAGAGACTCAATCACCCTCTGGCTATCTGGAGAGAGAGCACTGTAGAAGTTCCCCACTGTGAAAGCATCACTAAAGCCATGATGGGGACACTGCCAGAAGTATCCCATGTACCGCTCCCATGCATCACGAAGTGACTCATCTGGCTCTTGGCGGAAGTGAGTGATCTCCCGCTGGATCTCTGTAGTCTTCGATGCCGGATAGTACCTGTGCACGAATTTGTCAACCAGATCGTCCCAAGAGGTGATGGACAATGGGGGTTGGGTCTCCAACCACCTCTTAGCATTCCCCGCCAGAGAATGGGGGAAGAGATGAAGGCGGATTGCATCATCAGGGACACCATTCAGTTTGAACCCGTTTGTCAGCTGCAGAAAACGGGAAAGATGTACCCTGGCCTCCTCATCCTTCAAGCCATGGAACTGGATAGAAGATGTAATGAGCTGAATCCAACATGGCTTGATCTCGAAGTTGTTTGCTGGAATAGGCGGGTAGAGGATGACCGGGCGGATGTCAGCAATCCGTGGAGTGTAGTAGTACTCCAAGGTGGGACCCGGCGGCGGTGGATGATGATGAGCCCCATGATCCTGGGGTATGGGGTTGTTCCCCAGGACCTGATTCCCCGGGGGAGCCTGCTGAGGATTCCCCTGGTGTGGATTGTATTCTCCGTCCATCCCGTACTCTTCCTCAGAATCGCTGCTCAAGTGGCCGTCTATGCGCTCTTCCGTAGCCAGTCTAGCTCGCTGTTGTCTCCTGAGTTGGCGACAGGTGCGGTCAATCTCTGGATTCAACGACAGTAAACCTCTTGACTGGCTACGGGTCATGCACTACCTGCACACACTCAAGCAAGCAAACCCGTGAAGGCACAAGTGGGACAAAGCAAACAAAGCGAAAAGAAAAGCTAAATTAACAGAAATCACTTTTCTTCAACAACCTAGCCGTCCCCGGCAACGGCGCCAAAAACTTGACTCACTTCTACTGTCACTCTAGGAATTGGCCAAGTGAAACCACTTCCTAAAGCGTAGTATAGCGGGTTTGGGTTTAAATGTCAACCCGGGTCCTAGATTTGATGACTACTCGGTGAATTCTTGTTATCTAGCAATGAAACTTTAATGCAAGTCTAAACTAACAAACTAACAAAGCAAGTAAATTGTTGTATTCAGGTTAAGAGAGGTCACCCGGATATGGTTCCCCCTAGACTGCAGTTAAGCCGGATTGTAATTACCAAGTTCAGTTTCTATGATAGTTATACTGCGGAAGGTTCTTAAACAGCCTGAAGTCTCAACTAAAGGTCTTCAGACCCTCTCAATCTGAGTCTCTAGCGGGCGACTAACCTCCACCGGAGTAAACAGATTGAGGCCTTAACAAACAAAACCTCCACTACCGGAGTAAATCCGGTACACAATAGTGAGTTGGCTCCTCGACTAAAGTCACCAACTCCCTACCTTCAATCAAGGATGCTCTATCAACCTAGGCAGATATTCGCATTCTAGGTTAAAGTAGAAACAACAGGAATTTGATCAGGATTCATGCCATTCAATCAATCAAACCTCAATTGAATATAATCAAATCATAGAATCAATACTTGGGTTCATACAATCAAACCTAACATACAAATCTAGGGTTCTCCATACCCAGATGAATGGGAGAACTACTCCATGGAGAAAGAAGCAAAAGCAGAATCAGACGCGGAATTCATACTGTAAAGGATGGATTCCTGCTCCTGGACGTTGATCGGCACTTCTCCAAGCTCAAGCTGGCCTCCAATGGTGATGAAGATCAAGCTAGGGCACTTGGAGACTCTTGTTCGTCACTTTCTCTCTCTAGGAATCGCTCTGTCTCTCTAAAACTCGAATCCCCTTCTGTTTTGGCTGAAATCTGCTTAAAAGGGCATCAGTGGCCAAAGCACGGTCGAGGGCACGGCTGTGCTTTGCTTCAGCCCGCCCGTGCTTTGGCTAGGGTTAATTACACAGCCATTGTGTTGGGAGAAACACGGGCGTGTTTGATGATGGACACGGCCGTGCTTGTGGTGGCCACGGCCGTGCTTTGTCTAAGCCCTGACCGTGTTTTTAGCCAATGTTTGCCAAACTCGAATTAGCTCTCGGCAGTAAAAGCACGGCCTCAGAACACGGACGTGTAATGCTTTAGGTGTGCCCGTGTTTTGGCTCCAGCTTCACCAAATGACTTCCGAATGCCCCGAAACTCGTGCTTAGCCTTTCCTTTGACGCCTGGGACCTGAAATATGACAAAATAGCACAACCCGGCGTAAAATAGGCCAAAAATACACGACTATGCCCCTCAAACGGATAAGAACTAGGGGCGCAAATACGTGCAATTACATCGTTATCAGGTTTCTTCTCTGGTTGAGGTAGAGGTTGTTGTTTCTGCAGGCCTGGAGGTGGAATGTTGCGAGCACCATTTGGGTTGTTGTTCGCCCAGGAAAAGTTAGGATGCTTCCTCCATTGCGGGTTGTCGATATTTGAATACATACCACCCTGACCTTTGATTTCGCTGATTGTTGATATAGTGCACATCTTCCAACTGATCAGCTACCAGTGGACATAGATCCCTATGATGAGCACGTTCACATAATTCGCAAAAAGCAACCTCCTCCTATCTACCAAATGCCATCTTAGCCAGCCTTCGTTCGAGTGCATCGAACTTGGAATCCGGCTTAGCATCAATCTTTGCTTCTAAACTTGCAACTCTGTCTATCTCATGCAAGCCTCCTCTCCTTCGTATGCTGGTCTCACTACCCCATTCAGTATCTTCAGAGCATATCTTCTCTACCAGTTCATATGCTTCTGGCGCTTCCATTCTTGTGAAACCATTTCGGGAAGCATTATACAGAGCATCTCGGAATTTTCTTCTGATTCCGTTGAAGAAAATGGAGATCACGTTCCAATCTTCTAGACCGTGGCTTGGGCATCTCATTAAAAGCCCCTTATAGCGCTCCCATGCCTCGATCAGACTCTCGTCTTTAGCTTGTTTAAAAGTGACAATTTCCTCTTGCCTCTTCATTGCCTTGGCAGGAGGAAAGTACTTATCCAAAAAGGTCTTCTCAAGCTGGCCCCATGTCGTGATTGAACGGGGTGTTAAGTTCTGGAACCAGTGTGATGCATTCCCTAGCAGAGAAAATGAGAAAATCCGAAGACGGATGGCATCATCAGACACAGTCGGGCTCTTCATCGTATCACAAATGCTTGCGAACCGGCGGAGATGTTCATGAGGATCCTCGGTGCTAGCCCCTGAGAAGGTGTACCCATTAGTGATCATATTGATGAATGTTGGGGTAATTTCCATGGTTGTATCCCCAGCCGGGATGACAACACATGAAGCTCGGGCTCCAGTCCTCCGATTCAGACGAACCCGATGGATCGATCCTCGTCTGCCATGATGTCTGGCTCAACCTCACGAGGTGGTGGTGTCGGTGGTGTATGGACGACAGGTGATGAAGCCTGCCCTCTCTGTTGACGATTCTTGGTTAGGGAAGGCCTAGGAGTTGTGGATGTGGTAGGCTGCTTCCCTAACTTGACCCGCTTCCTGTTCTGTCGGCAGGTCCTCTCTATCTCTGGATCAAGTGGCAGTAAATTGTCGGTCGTCCTCCTTGGCATGCACGAGGAGGATACACCTGAAATTCACCTGCACACTAGAACACAGATCAAAATAGTTCACTCACAAAAATCAACAAAAATAAGGTATGGCAGTCCCCGGCAACGGCGCCAAAAACTTGATAGGGCAAAAGCGTATGCCTTAATCCTATCTCGTAGTAAACCGGAAAGTCCGGGTATCGTCTCTCAGGGATTGGTACAACCTTAAGTTCTATCAATTTTGTAGAGCAAACTATAGGTGAAAATGGTTTAATGAGATTATTAACTACTAGCAAAATAATTAAACTAATTAAGCAAAGTAAAATGGTCGGGAGAAAATCAATGGGAGAAAGCTCTGGGAAAAAACACCGGGACTCACTACCTATCCTATCCAGATTAATTCACATATTCCAATCAATTTCATCCATATCTCTACATCCAGGATATCACTACTTTGCTCTAGCTATCTCTGTCGGGAATTACTATGTACTAAGCAATTAATTCAAATCCTACTGTCGTAGCTCAATGAGTTAATTATTTAGTCTGAAGACCGATATCCTATTTAAGGCCGCATAGCACCTTATTTAATCCATTGTCGCTTCGATAAGTTACTATGTCACATGAAATAGGTTCAGTTAATAGGGTTTTACTGTCGCTAATAACCTAATTAACTACAAATCGTTGTATTAGTGGCCAGTCAACACAAAGCATTAAGTAATTTCATGCAATAGAGATTGGAATAAAAGAATTATGAATCAATCCATCAAATCAAGAACTAGCTACATCCTATGGTGTTTCCCCCAGAAATCGGGGTTTAGTTCATGATGAAATTGAGTTAAAACAATATAGTTTTGATCATCATGTACCAAATCAACAATAAACAACTAATTTGGTTCAGAGAATCCAACCAACTAATCGCTCTCGTTGAACTCAGCTCAGGCAGCCTTGGAAATCTCGACCGCCGATCGCCGAACGAAGCTATCTTCTCGTCCCAAGCTTTATGCGCTGCGCCTGCTTTCTTTTCTTTTTTACAAAAAATTCCGCCGCCAGAGAAATTCCTTCCCCCTTTTTCTTTCTCCTCCTCCTCTTCCAATTCCCCAATAATAGCCACCCGGTCCAAGTAGTTCAGTGGGCCATAATTCCCAGTCGACCCTCCTGTGCAATTCCCTGGCCCAAAAATTCCTGCTGCCTTTTATTCTGCCCCCTAATTTCCATTCCAATTATCCCCCTGCTCCCTCCATAATGGCCGCCAGCCATTTCCAAAAAGTCCAGCCCACGTCTTCTGCTCCTTTCCCCCAGTCCAGCTGGGCCTTGAGCCCAGCTCCATGTCCCAAGCCCGAAATAATCACCAACCAACCATTAAACTCCCTCCAGATGCTCCATCCAGGATCACGTGCTATTTAGCAAGTGATTCGAGAATTGTTTGCCGGTGCCACTTCTTTTTCGTGTTTTCTTTACCTGTAATACATCAAACTCATGGAACTAGGCAGTAATGGTTTTTCAACTATTCTCGGGTTAGCGAGCCCTAAAATAGCACCAATTGGCTAAAACATACCATGGGATAATCACATAAAGTCCAAGAATTCAATATGTTAAAGCCGATTATCATCCATGGGCCCCACAGATTTGTTACTAAATACTTGAAGCAAACAATGGATTTTGTACAAAGTCCATCATGAATCCAAAACCATCACCAAATCCTTCACCAAATCCATAAAGGGCTTGTTTGCTTGATGGATTTGGTGAGGGATTTGAATCCATCATGGACTTTGTCCTAAATCATCCATTGTTTGCTTCATGCATTTAGGGAAAACAAATCCGTGGGTCCCACGAACTTTAAGGTACCAAATCCGTGAAACCCACAGACTTGAAAGTTCCACCTATTTAGGTGGGAATTGATTATGGACTTTTAATTCCATCATTTTTTACCAACATACCCTTCATATTTGCTTTCGCTTCTTATATCATTGAGGGCAACAAAGGTAAATTACACTTTATACATACAAATTTAATTAACAAAATCCATCTTGAAATCCATCAAACAAACAATGATTTTTATCAAATCCATAATGAACCTAAAACCCTCATATCTCCATGGTTTTTCAAAACCCCAGTTATACCAAAACCTTCATTTTTCAAATTCACGACGCAAACGAGCCCGCAAACAAGTCCATCTAATGGTTGTGTGATGGTGATAGAACTAGGTGTGTTAGTTGGTTCGATTACGGTTAAACTGAACCGACCGATCGGTTAATCGCAGCCGAAAAATGACCCAAAACCACTAACCAAAACTGCCGCCGTTAATCTTATCGGTTAGGCAAAACCGAGGCCTACTAATTGCGGTTAAGTCTTTCGATCACCAAAAACTGCGCCTCTATAATTACAAAGTAGAGGAGAATAATAAATTAAAGGGGAAAATTGCTCTCGTCTCTTTCATAAAAAAACAAAGTCTTTTCCAATTCCTTCTCTCTCCACGTATTCTCTCTCTTGCTCTATGTCTCTAGGGGTGTTCAAATGGTTATAATGGTAATTACCAAACCAAATTAGTATAAAATCTATTAACCATGGAATACAATATCATAACCAAACCGTCCAAACTAATACAACAACCAAATTAACCAAACTAAAGTTTAATCGGTTTGGTTAATTGGTTAACCAAAATAACCAATATACCACCACATTATCATTAAGTGAGAAAATTTTCCAGTTAGTGCATCAATTTGCAATTTATATAATGAATGAATAACACATAACAATAAACAAATAATTATAGTTAACCCTTAACGTAAATACATGTAACTAATACAATTATATTGCATTTGATTCTTAAGTTACAATTATATTGCATTTGATTCTTAAGTGGTTATGCAAAGTATTAAGTATGTGTGTATAATATATTATATATATGGCTAATTACTTAAATGGTTAATTTGGTTTGATTGGTTAGGAGTGTATGAAACCAAACCAAACCACCTAAACCATACAAGCTGAAAATTTAACCAAACCAAACCAATTATCCAAATTAACCAAACCAAATTATCCAAACACTACCGGTTAAAACGATTACCACGGTAACCACACCGTTTGAACACCCCTATCTGTCTCCATCTGTAGAATTCTAGATCTACCTCTGTTCAACAAAAATGAAGCCTCCACCAAAAAATCCGAACACTACAAACCATTCGTCCAAATCTCATGGCGGCAGGCTCTACCCTAATGCCTCGACCACTGCCTCCTCATTCTCTCCTTCTTCTTCCGAACGACACGATGTCAGACAATAACGAACTATGAGGACGGTAGGGAGGCGGCCGACGGGAACATGCAAGACGATCTCCGACTCCGGCCATCAATCCCGACGACGATTTCAGCTATGGCGACCACCTAGACTCCTTTCATGTCCACGATCGAGAATGAGGAAGGAAGGAGAGCGAGGAGGATGCAAGGCGAAGTGGGGGTGACAAAGATTGACGACGATGGTGAGGTTGACCGCCGCCAAATATCATGGCTAAATCTCACCTTTAGAAGAGAAGCAAAGATCCCAAAAGGAAGATGACTAAGAGAATCGCGGTGGACGACAGATAAGAAGGTTCTTGACGATGATTTGAGTAGATGATGCTAGAGGAAAGAATTGAGATTTGAGATGCAGATGGTGTTGATGGTCTCTGGGTCGGCAAAAATTGAGATTGGGATTTAGGAATTCAGGTTTGAGGGGGAGCCGGTGGAGTGGTGGGACTGGGAAAGGAAGGTAGAGACCGGAGAGAGTAAAGGGAGAGGTCTGGCGGTTAGCAGCGATGCTCCGAGTTGTTATCGGTTAGCAACCGGCAAATGCCGGTTATTAATATTTCCCCAAAATGACAAGCGATGCATTATAAGCAATTTTTGGATATCCGATTAATCGATCTTTTGGTTAAACTGGATAACTGACACCCGATTATCAACCCTAGATAGAAGCCCACGATCCGGGTTCTATCTAGGAATTAGAAATGAGGGAGGAGATCAAAGGGGCGTTGATCCTTGGTGGGAAATAGAAGTTTGGGGATTTGGAGTTGAAGTGAGAAGAGAGTGGAGGGAAGGGAAGCTGCAGCAGCAGCTAGAGGGAAGGGAAGGGAGGGTTTGGTCGAGGGAAGAAGTAGAGAGGATTAGGGAATTGGTTAGGTTTAATCTTGCTTAGTTGGTAAAGTCCACTTACAAGAATATTTATATAACTGAATAATTCTCTAATGCTACCTCGAATTGTTTATCCCCCACAATTAACCCATAAATTATCCCAATAGTTCAAAAGAAAAATAAACTGGCAATAATCCCAAATAATCAAACCACAATAAAACGTGTTTCTATCAGATGGTCTGCGAGGCTGGTAGTGAAATACTCTATTTCTTCCTTCTTTGCAAGCCTCTGATGACATCTAAATTATCCGAAACTTGCTACAAACCTTCCTTAACATGCCATATAATGAAATAAGAACCAACAAGTTACGAGCCAAATGATCAATTAACTAGAAATCATAATAAGTCCTAGAATATTACCGATTAGCTACACGTTGCACAATATAAACCTAAATAACCAAATTATGACGATTTGGACATTCAAACGCCTGAAGAATAGGGTCTATAAATGTATAAATCGTGTGTAATCAATACCAAATTTATAGTAGCCTAAAAACAAACATGGCATTGAGCAACTTCAAACCTCAAGTGAGCGTTGAATGACTACAACACTTCCTCATGATCTTGACACATTCCCCACTGTCTTTTAACTCATGATATTGTCGGGCCACGTGTTGAGCAATAATGGGCTTCGAGGCACAAAGAGAAGCCCATAGCTGCCCAACCGAATGCAAATGGAGAAGACAGGTCCTTGTATGGACCGCCTAACTCTTCTAACAACATCACTCATTTGGTCCGTAGGCGGTCTAACCTATGATGTGATGGGAGTAGACCGCCTGACATAAAACACTGATGAGAGATAGGAGCCACAAGATTCGAGGTAATGATTATCTCAATATGAGTAAGATTGAGCATTAATTATCCGCTGTAAGCGGTCGCCTATTAGACAGGACATGCTTAAGGCGCCTGACATAACATTACCTAACCTGATTGAGTATAAATACTTCTCACATGATCATTGGTGGTAACTCAACTACTCCCTCTCTCACTAAACATATCACATATTCTCATTTCTCTCTCTAACTTAAGCATTAGAGAGTGCCCTGGGCGATTGCCCAGGGGCCGTTGTTTTGCAGGATCCAGGAGTCCTCTACCCTTCATCAGGAACAGACGCATCGCTCGTGCTTCATCAACCGCCTAGAAATTCTAGGCTCAAACAATATAGGTGTTTTCTGGTAAAAAAAATTTTGTATTAATATCAATGAATTGTACCTTTGATATAGTTATAAGATCTTAAATTTACTTTAATCTTTAAGGTAGGTTATAGGCAGTCAACCGCCGTAGTGGAGAGATTCCCTTCAGATTTATTTTATTAATTTTTGATTGTCACGTGAGCAACTTAACGATTAACCATCGATTGTCATCTAGGATTAATTTAATGGAGTTGCATGGCGAGTGATTATTGATGAAACAAAATATAAATTTATTAACTAGTAAGAAAAAAATTCTGGGTGACAAATATTAAAAAATCAATTAATTAAATGACCAAACATATAATTTACCCTAATAGTAACTTACCAAGTGTTGTCTAACCCTATTCATAATTTCACACCCTTCTTCGAACCTCCAACTTTCTTGGAAAAAATTCCAAAGTACACTAGTTCTTAAAAAAATTCTCAAAATGCATAAGTTATAAATTTTTTTCCAAAACTACACATGTTTGGCATTCTCCGTTTTTGACAAACGCAGTGAATATAATCACCGTCTTTGTCAAAACGGTGAACATTTCACCGTTTTAAAATAAAACAATGACGTGTTCACCGTCTTTGTATAAAGCGGTGAAGTGTTCACCGCGTTAAACAAAAATGGTGAAGACATCACCGTTTAAGTTAAAAACGGTGAAAACGTCACCGTTTTAGCGCAAAGCGGGGAACATCTTCACCGCCTCAGGCTAAGGCGGTGATTATTTCCCACGTTTCCCAACCCTGGTAGGTGAAAATTAGGTCACAACTACCTAATGTTCACCGTTTGAGACAAACGCGGTGATGATGTTCACCGAGTTTGACAAAGGCGATGAACATTAGCCGATTTTTCTATAAATACCACACCACCAGTAGTTGTAAAAACATAACCACTCCCCCCTCTTCAAATTTGAGCAACCAAAACCGAGCAACATACACAGAACAGGAATTTACGGTATGGTTTAATTATCGTATTAATTCCTAATGGTTGTTTTTAGTAGTTATATTGTTATGTTATGAATTACTTATCGTAGCAAATATGACTGATGTTATGAATTACTGGAATTATGCTAATAGTTACTTATTGTAAATTATAGTAATGGGTAAATTCAAGAAGTTTCAGCTTATTATTCGGTGGAATGGAAGGGTTACAAACTCTGACATATGGATTGATTATGAGGACGGTGTATCAACTAAACTGAAAATTGAGTCGCGATTCAATTTTCAAGAACTCTGTGATATTTGTCCAGACAGGGTTTGTACGAGCGGACAGACGAGACTTGGTAAAATTAGTTACCAGTATCCATGTATGAGTACTGGCGGGCTTGTGTACCAAGAAGTTGTCATAAACGATGATGACGCGGTTACGATGATGTTACAGTTCCTAAGCGATAACGGGATGTGGCAATCAGAGGTGTATGTTGAGACCGAGGCGGTCGGTGAAACTCATTCTCACCAGTATTCTTATGATGATGGTTTTGAAGGAGGGTACGGATGGGGTGGTAGTTCGAGCAACTATGAAGAAGGTGGTTATATAGGAGGTTATGGAGAGGTTGGTAGTTCAATCAACTACGGTGGAGGTAGTAGTGCAAGATGGGTACCATCAGAAGAATACTCGCAATAGGATCAACCTACCAATGGCGTTCAATGGCCTGCTTGGGGGCCTGAGTGGGCTGAAATCGAGAATACCATTTGAGCAGGCATACTTCACATGAGCAAGAAGACGATGTTGGTGATGGTGGTCATGTTGATCCTTCTGGGGCGAGCTATCCATTTGACTCGAGCGACGATGATAGTGAGGAAGATTTGAGATCAGTGAGCGAGGAGGAAGATACTGATGATAACGACAACGAGGCGATATTTTGTGAGGCACCGACGCCATACCACACACAGGTTCCAACTCAATTTTTACATAGCCAGAATGATGCCCCCGACTTTTTCCCTATGCCAGTGTATAATCCAACGGCCAATTTGGAGGTGGGTATGATGTTCTCATTGAAGGACGCTGTGCATGATGCCTTTACCGAAGAGGCCTTGAGGCGCAATTTCGAGTGGAAGGTAAAATATTCTGACAGTAAACAATTACATGTCATATGCAAGAATGATGTAGAGGGCTGTACCCATCGTGGTAGCCCATCGGTCTCGTCTCCAGCATCCCTTGGACCACCCATGTCCCTCTATTCTCCCAGATGTTGATGTAGTACTGATGCTTTAGGATCCAATTCTTTGAAGCGTGTCGGAGGTCGATGGCATGGAGCTCCCTAAAACCTTAAGGTGGGGTTTGTGGAATTGATTGCTCCATTTGATATTGCCTGAAGGATCGATCGGGTAGGCGCCACTCCACGACATGCCAACAGATCAATGGCACCTTGCACAACCATGTCTCGTGATCCAGAGGGTTTCTAAGATGATGCAGTTCGACCACTTCACGTGGATATGGATCCCAAGTAACCTATATTCATTCAAATAATCCAATTAGCGACCATTTACATTGAAAAACCTTAACTTGTTAAAATATGATAAAGCATGATTACCTGATTCCACCAAGGCTTATCTAACTCAGAACGATAAAACAGTAACGAATGCTCAGGTTGATGGTCATTCGTATTTTCTCCTATCCACCTTGTAAGTAAAAGCATGGAATAAATTTAAATTAGGCTAGGTACGGATTAAATTCAATTTAAATCTAGCTAAGCATGGAATAATTTTAAATTATGCTAAGTACGGGATAAATTCAATTTAAATCTATCTAAGCATGGAATAATTTTATATTAGGCTAAGTACGAAATAAATTCAATTTAAATCTAGCTAAGCATGGAATAATTTTAAATTAGGCTAAGTACGGAATAAACTTACTTGACACCGTAGGGGGGATTTTGCAGAAAGTTTAGCTCATCATCAGCTCTCCGGTATGGACGTGGGTCTAGAGGTGCGAACATTGGAAGATGCTCCCATACCCACAGCTGTAGGATAAACATCGCAGCACCAGCTTGTTTTGCTCCCACCTTCGAGCAACTGCACAGCTCCCGCTATACGCCAGCTAACACGGCCGATCCCCAACTCTTTTCCCCGATTGCGTCCCAATCACCAGTGAGCAAAGGCAACCATATGCCTTGAATCCACCGGTTTGACTTGTCAGGGAACATATATCCACCCACCAAACCAATGAGGTAGATGCGTGCATAGCGCTCCACTTGATCTTCCGGAGTCTCGTCATTGATTTCCACCTCATTCTGGATGTGAGTTACCAGCCACGGGACCGACACTTTACCCGCATTCAACGGTGGATGCCCCCGTCTTTGAGGGTGATCGTCATTTCCCCCTCCGGAAGGTGGAACGTATGGATTTCAGGACGCCATCGCTCCGCCATTGCCATAAGCAGATCATTGTCGATTTCGATCCGCATGAAATGGCGCAACATACTCAACCCGGTCCTCTCTATATAGGGGGTCAACCGTGGATGCCAAGCGGGCAAGTTTGTGGTCCCTTTATGAACGACGGGAATAAGTGATTCCTTCAAAAAAATATGAAAAAAATCAATTTGTTAGTTTAAATAAAACCTTAGAAAATAATAAAATAAAGCAAATAAATCATCAAATTACCGGATTGTTATCCCAAATAGCACGGGAGCGATGAGCTTCTTGATTGGTTAAGAGTCTCATATCTCTTGGCCCATAATGGATATACAATAGAGGATCGTATATCTCGGCACCCATCTATAAAAAAGTAGTGAAATCAGAGATTGTTTTGATAAAAAAAATTACAAAATCAAATTGTTTCGATTAAAAAAAACTACACGAAGAGCCTCTTCGTCCATTTTTTGGCAGAAGCCGGACAAAGGTTCGACGGGTTCGGGTTTGTAAGGGACGGGAGCTTAGCGGGACGAGGGCTTTAGGGTCAAACTCTAGTAATTTTTTCTGATGTGGAAGATCGGACATAGCCGCAACCACAGAGCATACTTAGAACGAGACTAGAGAGGATAGATTGAGGGAGAAAGAATTGTAAATGTGGTGGTGTTATTTGGAGGAGGGGAGGGGGGGGAGGGTTCTATTATAGGGAAGGATAGGAGGGTCTGCGCAAATTAATGGGGAGCATTCACCGCGTCCCTCAAAGGCGGTGAATGCATCGCCTTTCCCAAAATCGGTGCTTGTCGCGGATCGAGCGACGTGGCGTGCTGTGAGGCGTCGGATTTGGGAAGAAAAACACGATCCGCGCCTCACCGCATCCAACGGCCACGCAAACAAACACGGATCGTTGACGCAAACAAACACGGGGTATTCACCGTGTTTGTCTAACGCGGCGAATACACCGCGTTTGTCCACGTCAGCGATCCGCGTCGCTTCATCGTGGCATACAAAAGCGGTTTAATATACACCGCATTTCATTAAAATTGTGATCTATTCACTGTTTGCCTCTAAAACGGTGATTGACTCACTCGTTGTTCACCGTTTTAGAGAAGAACGGTGAATACGTCACCGTTTTTTTTTTAAACGGTGAAATATTCACCGTCCTTGTCAAACGTGGTGATAGTCTTCACGACGTTTGTCAAAAACGGTGAATGCCAAAAATGTGTACTTTGGGAAAAAATTTTATAACTTATGTATTTTGGGAAATTTTTTTAAGAACATGTGTACAGTGAGATTTTTTCCCAACTTTCTTCTACCCCTCTTCTACAAGCTTCCTCCCAAATCACATCACGTCTGATTAATTATAGTGTGTCAAGATCCGATATTCATCAAACTCCACAAAGAAGGGTAAATGCCACATTTGAATACTAATTGCTAAATTGTGTCATGTTTAGTAATTAAAAAAATTTAATATCAATTTTGATCACTCGAATTATTGAAACAGGTCACATTTAGTCACTCTTCCATTAGCCTCCGTCCAACTCCGGTCACTCGAGTTACTGAAACATGTCACATTTAGTCACTCGAATTATTGAAACATGTCATATTTAGTCACTCTCCCGTTAGTTTTCGTCCAACTCCATTAATGAAGTTGGACGGAAACTAACAGAAGAGTGACTAAATATGATATGTTTCAGTAATTCGAATGACCAAAATTGATATTAAATTTTTCTAGTGACTAATCATGACACAATTTAATAATCTCAGTGACCAAATGTGGCATTAAGCGTATTGTAAAGTAGTTGTTGAAGCATATCACATGTGACTAGTTGAGCCAAAAAGTGCACATGTATGTATGTATCTATCTATCTATCTAGGGTCGTCCATCTTCAATGCAACCGAACTGAACCGTTCCGCAACATGCAACTGACCGGAAATAATGGAACCAAGCAAGCAGATCATCCCCTCCATGATGGTGACTGACAACATAAAACTATACATTTCAGTGAAAAATTATGTCAGTTTCTTAATACTTAATAATTCTTATAAATAAAGTCAAGCAACCCCCGTCGGAAAATGGTAGGGCGTTATTATAGGTCGGGTATACCGGAAATTGGACAAACCGCCAAACCGGCCATGCTTCAGCTTCACGGTCCCCGCAGTTAGCCGGAAAAAAACGAGTGTGGGCCGGGCCGGCCCACTTTGGCCACATCACCACACGTTTTCTCTTCCTTGTACGACTCTAACCGAACCCAGCTCAGCACTAAGTCACTAACTCTCCTCTTGTTGCTTGCTTTGCTTTGCTTTGCTTTGCATTGCATTGCATTGCATTGCATATCTTCCCGTTCCAGCGGTCAGTCGATCATATCATATCATATCATATCATCAGGCCGCGTAATTAACCAATCAACCAACCAAGTGAAAGCATAACTGGAAAGGAAACGACCCATCTCTCGGCAGGCAGCTGTGATACAAAACAAAACCGATCTGCCTGACTGACTGGCGGCCGGCGGGTGATATTTCCCAGAGGACCCCACAGGCCACAGGCCACAATCCAACAACATTGTTGATCCAGGTCATATATATATATATATATAGCGGATTGTTTGGTTGAACATTATAATTGGTGGATACTGGGTAGTGCCGAGACCGAGAGTAAACTGAGCATCTATAATTTGGTGACCATCTGTCCAATCTCATTGATACCATACAATTTCTAAACCGCGACAGATTCATGATAGAATAGAGTACTAAGCCACATTTGAAAAGAATAAGAGAGGACTGGGCCGTACCCCGACGAGCACCGAAACTAACACCAAAAATAAAAAATTTACAATAACTATATTAGCTCTGGATCCCGGGGAGGGTTGGGCCGGGGCCCGGGGGTGGCCCCCTAGATCCTCCGCTGTTCCTAAACGAAATGTACTATTCCTTATAATCGATATCATCCAACCTCTTGGTGGATGATATCATCACATATCATGGACACCATCCAACTCCTAAGTGGACAGTGATCATCCAATATTGAATCATAAATTTATGCTTATTCATCCCATATTGTTATTTATTCACATAATATTGTTGGTTATTCACACAACCTGATATTTATTGACGGCTATTGTTATTTATTCATGTCGTAGTAAAATCATATTTTAAATCTTGAAATATATCAAAAGGTCTATTTTTTTAAGATTATGATCAATATAACTCATTTTTACATAATCTTTGAAAATCCAAATTTAATTCCATTAAATATTAAGCGGGAAAAAGAAAAAAATTTGGAATTCCATTTACGTAAATAACCATACCTCTAACATGATTAATTAAGTTTTAAATTATGTGAATAAATACCAAATAACGTAAATAATTACAAAATTGCAAGAAGTATGTGTTAGTGAAAAAATGCCACTCAAATCATCTCGAAATTTGTAAGCTTACAATGCGTGCTCACATCAATGGCACTACCTACCATTGCCATTGTCAAATCATGAGCCAACCCGAGATGCTCTTAAGGAGCATACGATCGACTCACAAGTAGCATCTAGTAAGCAAGTCGCCCTCTTTCTCCTCTGTTTCCTTTCCAGCTTTCCCTCCAAAGTGAAAAGAACAAGAAAACAGAGAGAGTGAAAGGAAGCTTCTTCCCGCCTTTCCTCCCAGACCAGGAACAAATTTCAGTGCAAATCTAATTATTTCTCTGGTTGGGAAACAAAGAAGAAAGCAAATCGCTTTTTGCACCAATTAAAACATGTATGTATTTACATGCCAGTAGTTCTCCCTTATCTTGACCAGATTGTTTTGCGTATAAGATTAATCTGAATCTGAACCTGAACCTGAAACAGCCGTCTCTCCCTTTTTCTTGTCAATTATTCACCTTCATCATCAGAATCATCTAAAATGGCGAAATTATTGCTAAGTTTTTATCTTTAGTTCCGTATTACTTGCTATCTGGGAAATCGGTAGAGTATAACTTGGATCCAAACACCAATTGACAAACCAAGTCCAAACGCTGAGTTGACCATCTTCCTTTCTTCTTCTTTCCCTTCACATCGCACTCCGTACTCTGCTTCCCCCCTTTCCCCATTAAAGCAAAAGCCCCTTCCTTCCTTCCCCGAATTAAAAAACAACAAAATCCCCTGAACCTGAACCTGACCCTCCTCCACTTCGCTTCCACTATATATCCCCATCACATACAGAAAACTGTTTTTTAATTCATCCGCCTGCTTCTGATCCACCTCAAAGCTGTCATCTTTATCGTCTCCCACCTCTTTCCCCTCCAATTCCTCTTCTGGGTCTTCTTCCTCCAGTTTTTTATAATCATATATCTATTCATCTATTTTGGAATCTCTTGTTTCCCTGGTTTCCTTTCTGTCGTTACTCTTGCCTCATCATCTCTGAATCTTTCTTCCCATCAAAACCCACCTTCCCCCAATTCAATTCAACCCCTGACGACACCTTTCTTCTCCTCTTCTTCTTCCACTCGCTGATCCAGAATTTTGATAAGCTATCAGCAGCAGCTGGGTCTTAAATGGGTCACTGCATAAGCAAAGGCGGAAGAGGCGGCGATGCTTTCCGCTACAACCATAATGATAACAATCATCACAACAATTACCATCCCAAATCTCGAGACCTACCTCCTGCTGATTATACCAATCATTCATCCAAACCTCCTCCTCCTCCGCCGACCACCGGAGACTCTGCCGGCTGCCATGTGATTCCTCCACAATCTCCACTCCGGACCCCAAAGAAGCCCGGTTTCCTCGCTCCGCCGAGCCCGAAGCCGGCCCGGCGACCCGATACGATCCTCGGGAAAGCCTATGAGGACGTCAAGCTTCACTACACGATCGGAAAAGAACTGGGTCGGGGCCAATTTGGGGTTACTTACCTCTGCATCGAGAATTCCACCGGGAAGCAGTACGCCTGCAAGTCGATTTCCAAGAGGAAGCTGGTCACGAAGAACGACAAGGAGGATATGAAGAGGGAGATTCAGATAATGCAGCACCTTAGCGGGCAGCCCAATATCGTTGAGTTCAAGGGCGCGTACGAGGATAAGCAGACGGTTCATCTGGTCATGGAGCTGTGTGCCGGCGGGGAGCTCTTCGATCGGATTATTGCCAAGGGCCATTACAGTGAGAAGGAAGCTGCTGGGATTTGCAGGTCGATTGTGAATGTGGTGCATATTTGCCATTTCATGGGTGTGATGCATAGGGATCTCAAGCCGGAGAATTTCCTGCTCTCCAGTAAAGATAACAACACTGCTCTCCTCAAGGCTACTGATTTTGGCCTCTCCGTGTTCATTGAAGAAGGTACAAATATTTATTTCTCTCCTTCTTTGTTTTTGGCAGTTGTATGATCTATCATTTTCGAATTCCAGGTGTTCTGTGTTCATATGATGTGGGTTTTTAGTATTTGCCTTTTTTGGGTTCTGAAAAAGGTTACTAAAAATAGTTGTATGGATGATTTTATGATGATTCTGTTAAATAGCCAGACAAAAGCAATCAATGTATATGATAACAGGATGCCATATGAGATTGCCAGGTGCTTCTGGGTTTCAACGGCTTAGCTCAGTGTGCACATCAAGAAACGCTGCAGGGTTCAATCTTTGCTTTCTTTCCTGGGGAGTTGTATGTTTTGTAACGCCTCCAAAGATGGTCATTGCATATTGGAAGCTAGTCATTCTGTGCATGTATGGTAATTGTCAGGAAGTAGCATTGCGGCTGATGAAACCTGCGTTTGACAATGTGCAGGGAAAGTGTATCGGGATATCGTTGGGAGTGCGTATTATGTTGCTCCTGAGGTATTGAGGCGCAAATATGGCAAGGAAATAGATATATGGAGTGCTGGGGTTATACTCTATATCTTGCTCAGTGGTGTGCCTCCATTTTGGGCAGGTAACATGATGAGTTCTGCATATATATCTGCTTGATATTTCGTCGAGATCATAGTGAACTTGCCTCTTCTCCTATTCACTTCTAACTAGCTGGAGGAGCCTGGTTTTGAGTTGAGTAACTGAATTATTGTGCTGTAATTTGACAATTGTAATTCAGAGAATGAGAAGGGAATCTTTGACGCCATATTGCAAGGTGACATTGATTTCGAAAGTCACCCCTGGCCGGTTATCTCGAGTAGTGCAAAAGACCTGGTTCAGAAAATGCTAACCCAGGATCCTAAGAGACGAATTACTGCTGCTCAAGTCCTTGGTATGGGTATTTCTTTCTCTCCTGAGTTTTTCGCTTTTGAAATTGTGAATGTTGGACTTAATCGAAATTTGTTATGGATTTCTATTTGCTCATGCAGATCATCCCTGGCTCAAGGAAGGTGGAGAAGCTTCAGATAAGCCAATAGACAGTGCAGTCCTTTCTAGGATGAAGCAATTCAGAGCAATGAACAAGCTCAAGAAACTGGCTTTGAAGGTATAGTTTAAAAGTGATTTGCTTTAGGCAGGCACGGTTATGCTTAAGAGATGACACTGGATGAAATATTTTTGTGCTCTTGTTAAACAATCAGCTTATGATAATGTGCTTAAAACTCTTCTACAGGTCATCGCTGAAAACCTTTCTAAAGACGAAATCCAAGGGCTGAAATCAATGTTTGCTAACATTGATACTGATAATAGTGGCACGATCACCTATGAAGAACTGAAGTCAGGGTTGGCTCGCCTTGGATCGAAGCTCACAGAAGCTGAAGTGAAGCAGCTCATGGAGGCTGTAAGAAAATTGAACATCTCAAACTTCTTTTAGGTGATGATGGGCTTCATGGATAACTAACTTAGGCTCGGTTCTGAAATTTCAGGCTGACGTTGATGGAAACGGGACAATCGATTACATTGAATTCATCACGGCTACCATGCACAGACATAGATTAGAAAGAGATGAACATCTTTTCAAAGCCTTCCAATACTTCGACAAGGACAGCAGTGGGTAAGTCTGCGGTGCAGAAAATTATTGACATTATGCCTCTGAAGAATCTTGAACTGACCAACCTAATGAATTTCTCAAATGTGTTTGCAGTTTTATCACTAAAGATGAGCTAGAGATGGCCATGAAGGACTACGGTATAGCAGATGATGCAACAATCAGAGAAATCATAGCTGAAGTAGATACCGATAATGTAAGCTGATCTCTAACTCGGGGCTCTTATCCTTGCCTTGTACCTCAAATAGTTACACTAATGCTGGAAAAACTTTCTGGGAATTTCCAGGATGGTAGAATCAACTATGAAGAGTTCTGTGCTATGATGAGAAGTGGAACACCTCATCAGGCCAAGCTTTTCTAAATCCACCAGTGCAGTGGCTGCCTTATCATTCTCCATCTCCATGTGAGTTTCTTCCAACCACAATGGATATCAGGGCAGGGAGGTTTCATCCTCATTCAGGCACCTGAATGAACGCATATAAACTTTGAAACACCTGAAAGCATAGAACTTGAGACAGCCCTCCTCCCTCGTTTGAGATACTTGCGAGGCTTTCATTTGGGTTGTTTTGACAAGCAAGAATCATAAGCGATGTGAATATATAAGTCGAATTTTTTCTAAAAGTATCTGTTGTTACAGCAGGTTTGAGTTTGATAAGAAAACAAGTTGTAAGATTAGTATTAAGTGATCCTTTCTCCCAACTTGTAAGCGTAACGGTGAAATGAGCACCATGGCACTTGGTTCTTCTGAGAGAGCATTTATACTGCTGCAACTTTCCTCCCAATACCAATATACGCTGCTGGCAATGTGGACAGTCTTTCTTTTTTCCTTTTCTTAGAACCGGAATACCCTCTGCAGTCTGCAGTTTGCAGACATGAATAACCAGATATGTACCCTTTGGAATGAATCTTAAACAAAGAATGCTAGTTTTGACCATTGATTAACCAATGAGAATGACCTAATGTGTTTCAAATTCCGTTGAAACCTTCACAACCAGAAGCAAAACCATGATGCCATCTCCTTATGTTAGCTGCTTTTTTTCAAGTTACAATGGGAAGAGATCGACAGGCCTATCATAAAATCAACATATGTCTGAAATAAAAGAAGAAATGCCAGAAGTATATCACCAGATAAAGGGAACAACATCAGTATCAGAGCTTCAATGGGACTTTGATTTCTCCACGAGAATAATCCGACCGTTCCATTCTGTTTCATCAAGAGCCTTAATTGCAGCATCTGCTTCTTCATCCCTTTCCAAAGATAAGAACCCGAATCCTCGAGAATCTCCAGACCTTACATGCACAAAAGGGTTGTATGGAATCAAACAATAGACAAACAAACAAACAACCAAACAAATATTAAAATCGGCCATATCATTGAAACATTCTACTAAATCAACTTAGTACTCTTCCATAACAGAAGCCATTTCCCAGTTTCTAGGATTGTAGAAAAGGAGCTATCACATCAATAATTAGTTGCTATATATGCAGTAACCTACTTGCTGCATCAACTTACCTTCTGTCACGCACGATACGAACATCACGCACGCGTCCGAACCTAGAGAACTTCCTTTCCAAATCTCTTTCTGTTGTCAAAAAGCTAAACCCAGCAATGAACAAGTTATTTCCAGGCTTTCCAAATCCGGTTCTCCTGTTGGGAGGAGGTACCCAAGATCTCCGAAGAGGAGAGTAGCGGCTAGAGTGATAACGTCCAGAAGTAGGAGATCGTCTCCTCGGCGAATGCCTTGTTCTGTAACTGTAAGCACATAACAATGGAATTAGTACATGCTCACCATATTAAGAAGCTGTCTGACTGGACACCAGTGGTGCTTGAGTACTTACCGTCTGAGGATAACTCCAAATAGATACAAAGAAACAATAATGCACTCACCTAGGAGATCTTGATCGAGACCTGCTTCGCCGATCTCTCCTGTGCCCAGAACTGGAGTCCCTTTGCTTAATAGGTGATCTTGACCTCGAACGCCCATGCCTGCTATGCTTGTTTGGTGAGTTGTGTACTTGCGGTGATGCAGAAGAACTATGCTTATGATTTAACCTCTTTGGGGAAGCCGGTGTTATTCTTGCAGTGGAGCTACACAAATGATGCTGATCACTACCAGCTTCCTTATCTTCATTACACGACGTTCCAGGCGACTGAGGTCGTCTATCCTTACGTGCCATTGAATTTCCTTGGACGGCTTCATTGGTGGACAGTGAGTTGTTGACGTTAGGAGAACCTTGATCAGTACTGTATCCAACTTGTTCCCTGGAAGGTGCGACTCCCGTTGTATCCAGCTTCGTATCATCGTTAACGTTGCCGGCATTGCTGTCATCTACTGTAAGAAGGGACTCCTGTGCATGATCAGCAGAAGTTTGTGTTTCTTCACCATTGCTGCATGGAGATTTTGTTATAGATTCACCTTTGCAGCGATCAACTTCATTGTACAATACGTCTTTCGGTTTGTAATTAAGTTCGGAATCAAGGGGATCAGATCTGCGAGGGGAAGCTGCAGGCTGGCCAGAATCTAACTGCATTGCATCATCAACATTCTGTTCAAAGTCGATTCCGGCCTTTGGTTCTCCGTTGAAGGCTAACTGTTCCTCTGAACAAGAACTGCATTTCCGCTGGAAGAAATCGCTTGTTTCTTCCAAACCCTTCCCCTGAAAACTCAAATCTATCTCTGCATGATACATTTTCAAGAGCAGGATTATTTACAGATCATGCATTTCTTCGATTCATTCAAGACATCCCAATTCAAGCTTCGACGTTCAGCCAAGAAAATTAACATCGGAATTCATACCGAGATGGGAAACGAAAAGGGCAAAGAAAAAGGAGAAATTGTGGGATTGGGGGTTACCTTGTATTGTGGAGTTGGATATTGCCATGGCTGTCTGAATAAGTTAATGGCGAACAAAATATTATACCAGACTCTACGGAACGGAAGTATAATATGGAATAGGTCAGTCGCCGTGCAATGCTATGTCCTATGTATCACGTATTATCGATTCTTGAAGACAATGAGTTAAATGCCGGGTAATTAGCATAAAAGGTTACAAACCTATTCACTTTGTACAAAACGGTCACAAACCTTTAATTTTGCATGTTTCAGTAACATACGTTTGAGAGAATAACGAAATGATCATTCCGTCCATCTCCATCTAAAAAACCGTTAGTTTCGTCCAGTCAGCACGCCATATCACCTACAATATAAATAAAAAATTTAACAACCAAACTCAATTGAACCAGACAGCCTAACCAAAAACCCTAATTCTATATCAACCCCACCCTTACACAAAACCCTTGTCCTTCCTGGTCCACCTCCCCTTCCTCCTCCCTTACACTGGTGTCACCCACTTCCCTTAAAACACCTACCAGCAGCCTCTGGATGATCATTATGAGCTTCTATAGCAAAAATTAGAGAAGGAAAGTGAGACGCGAGGAGACCGAAGACTTGAGATGGCTGTGGAATAGTGGAAGCTCACCTCCAGTCAACCATTGTTTTAAGGCGGATACGCAGAAGTGGGTTCCAGATCGTAAGGCGGAAGTGAATCATTGAAGCTAGAATAGTTGATTCGAGGATGCAAAGATTCTTTGGTTATTCGGCGGGTGCATCTAGATAACCTTCTTCAGCATCGATTTCAAGACGATGAATTCCTCGTCAGGGACCCAAGTCCGCTAGAGTCGTTGAATGGCGTTACTTTCGACCCTTGAACGTTGATTCGATGAATCATCTCCAGAATTCTCGGTGAACAGCCCGTCGAATTCGCTGATTGCATTAAGATATCTATTCGAGCCACATAGTCGTTTATGAGGTCCTTTGGAGCGGAGAAAACCTTGATAGTGACAAACCCGAAATTAGAACCGCCGCGTCAGGTTGAAGCACACGTTGATTACGATATGGGCGATGGGTTTTGGTTTGTGAGAGGAGAGGAGCGGTCGACAGTAAGGAAATCAGAAGCGGCGGTGGAATACTCTGTTGTCGAGGGAAGCATTAGAGGCGGAGAGGGAGAGGAACTGTGCTTTCTGGGGACAATGGGGGGTACTCTGCCGGGTGGGTATAAAGGTAGTGAATTGGTTAGGATTGTGTGGATTAATTAGGATATTAAATGTTTTTTATTAATATTTTTAATGACGTGTCATGCTGACTATGCAAAAATAACGGATTTTTGGAAGGAAGTGGACGGATTGACCTTTTTGTTATTCGCTCAAACTTGTTTTACTGAACGTACAAAATTAAAGATTTGTGACCATTTTGTACAAAGTGAATAGGTTTGTGACCATTTATGATAACTACCCATTAAATGCTTAACAAAGATGTTAGATTTGTCGAAGAATCATTTTCTTGCCCTCTCAAAATCGTTGGGTTCGGATTCGGAATCTTGTGACTATGGGCTCGTAATTGTTGTTCGGCCTGGCCCACTGTCCCTATACATTCTTTTTCTCTTCAGCCCCACGTGCCAGTTTGTAACAGTGAGAACTGAGACCTACTAAATCTGAGCGCCACCTATAATCAATTTCGACGCCAACGGAGTTTTGCCCTCAGCAGCCTAATACCTCCAGGAACACCAACGGGCCTCGCTTGGATCGAACATGGAATCTGCAACTCCCAAACCTTTATTGTTGCGACAACTTACCGTTAGACTATCTTAACTTTGTTCCCCAATACATTCTTAATCTTATACTTCAACAATTAAAGATTCAAACATTTTGGTAGGTGAGTATTTGGGTGACTGAATAATGATTTGATATTGAGCCACACGTAAATAATCTAAATCATTGTGAGCTAACGATTTATAGAGGCGGACTACTAATCAGAAAATCTCATACTTGTAGGTTTATTCGGGTAGGTAGGTTGTTGATTGCGAGTGACTCAAATGCAACTTTGTTACGGTGCTCACATGGTGAGATTGAATGACACATCTCACTTATGACTTGAGGGTTGATATTGCTTTTGAGATGAGCTTATGTAAGAAGGAAGGGGAAAAAAGGAGCCATGTACCCCTTTAGTGGGTTGGTCCCACATTTCTTTCATTTTCCCTTCTTTCCTCCTCTCTCATGTGCTCTCTTATTTTTTAATGCTTGTCCGAATACGATGAAGACTTCTTTGGCTCTTTTGAATATTTGGTCGATGCTATTAATACGTGTTCATTTGTGTGGAATATTTGTTGCCCTCATATATGAGAATACTAGTTCGACTCTTTTGAATGTTTGTTGGGAAAAGTTGCTAGTTCCACATGTAGAGCAAGAGTATTATGACAATGATAGGGTTGTTATGTGTGCATTTGCATTAGGATGTTTTAAAACTTGAACAGTTTATGGGAGGATGTAACCTTGATCTTGACTGAACTTTTGATGACACAAATCTTGCTTTTCATTAAAAAAAAAACAACTAGAATTAATACATGCGGCTACGTCGCGGGGACATTTAATCGTGATCAAGGTGGGGCTCCGATGAGTGCTGATTGTTCCATGGCGAGCAGTAGTGTGCCTGTCCAAGGAGTTCCTATCAAGCCTTGGGCAGATTTGTTCGGGATTTCGGAGGCTAATCGGCTCTGCTACATGAAACCAGAAGTCTACAAGGGTGGGCTTCGGATGCCGAAGGAGGTTAGTGATGAAGGCACTGCTCACTGGAAGCATAGCCTTGTCGATCAATTTCTTCATCCGTTCCCGGCGCTAGCGGAGCTTCGGCGATGGGCGATTCGAATGTGGGGACAAGATGGTCCGGTGCGAGTATCTCTACTGGTGATCAGCTTCTCCTGATTCAGCTCCCAACCCAGGCAACTTGTGATTGAATTTTGGAGAGCGGTCCATGGTTCTATCTCGATAACCTGCTGTATCTTCTTCCTTGGAAGCCTGGGATTGATGTTGCAGACCTGGGTCGCAAGGCTCTTCCGATCTGGGTTAGATTCTCGAATCTCCCTATTGAGTATGTGAATTATAGGGGGCTTAGTAAAACAACAACTTGGTTAGGGGTTCCTTATGGAATTGATAAGACCATAAGAGTGGAAGGGAGGCTGGGTTTTGCGAAAATCCTGGTGGAGCTCCGTGTTGATGGGGATTTCCCTGACCATGTTCTGATTTGGCCGACTGATGATACTTCAATTCGGGTGGGGTGACCTATAGTCATTTTCCTCCGATTTGCCAGACGTGTAAGAACTTTGGGCTTGATTGTGGTTGTATAAGGGGGAAGAAGGTTTGGGTGCATAAGGTAGGGGTGCAACAACAAGAAGTGGTTCCAGAGCCTGTTTCTCTTGCTTTGGAAGTTCAGGAGCCTGCTACTCCTGTTGTGGAAGTTCAGGGCAAGGGTAAGGAGATTTTGGTTGAAGACCCGAAGGAGGATAATGGGTTCAATGTGTTAATTGGGTCAAATAGGGTGGTAATGGCTGCTGGTTCACATTCTCAAGGGGTCAATATAGAAACATTGTTTCAATAGGTTTCTGATTGCCCTTATCCCAAGCTACCATCAACTATGGATTTTCAGAAGGTGGTGAATGGAGCTAAACCAAGATGGTCTCCTCTAGTGAGTCCAACCAGTGTTTTGTTTACATCTCAGTCTTTTGCAGTTCTAGATGGTCTGCAGAAGGAGAGGGTGGTTAAACTTCAGGGTTTTCCAAAGAAAGGTGGGAAGAATTCAGAGCTTCATCAGCCCTCCTCCCCTCCATGATTGTTCTCTTCTGGAATGTTAGAGGGTTTAATAAACCCTCTAAGAGGAAGGACATGTTTAATGTCCTTCGAAATTATAGAGTAGATGTAGTAGCAATTCTTGAAACGAGAGTGAGGAAAGTTAAGGCAGAGGAGGTAACAACTGATTTTTGTCAAGACTGGAAGAAACATTTAAATTATGTGGATTCCGAGTTGGGGAGAGTGTGGTTATTCTGGGATCCAGATGTGGTAAATGTTAGCATCTTGTTGCCAAAGAAGAATTTTGTGCATTGTCTGGCTAAATCGGTGAATGGGGAGTTTTTGTTTTTTTACTGCAGTGTATGGTTCCAATGATGAATTGGAAAGACGGCCAACATATATGGAAATGTCTCAAATAAAGGTTAGTGGGATTCCATGGCTTGTTGGAGGGGATTTCAATGCCTTATTGAAACCTGGGGATACCGCTAATCTTAGAGATACTACTGGATGTGTGACTGATTTTAGCAACTCACTAGCAAACATGGAATTGTTTGACCATAGAGCTGTAGGATCTCAATTTACATGGACAAATAAGCAGGTGGAGAATCCAATTTCCAAGAAACTGGATAGGGCTTTGGTAAATGAAAGTTGGTTTGATAACTTCCCTGATTGCAGAGTAGAATTCCTTCTAGATGCTTTTACTGATCATTGTGGTGTGCTTGTGGCCACTGATTCTAGACAGAAATCACTACCAAAACCTTTCAAATTCTTTGACTTCTGGACTGAGGATCCTCAATTTCTTCCTCTGATTCATAAGGCTTGGGAATTGGAAGCGCAGGGGGTTCTTATAATGGTAGTGAAGGCTAGACTCAATGAAGCAAAGAAACTGTTGAAGCAGTTTAACAAAGAAGTTTATGGTGATCTGAGTGTCCAAGTGAAGGGTATGGAAGAGAGGTTGAATAATTGACAACTCAAAGCGTTTGATGAGCCTGGTGAACAAGTATTCCAAGAGGTTGTTGATCTGGAGGCTCATTTGTTTGAGCTTAGGAAAGCAGAAGAAAACATGTACAAGCAGAAATCTCGGATCAACTGGTTGTCTTTGGGTGAGAGATGTATAGGATTTTTTCATCAAGCTGTGAAAATTCGAAATGCCAAGAAAGTAATAAGGAAGTTGGTCACAGAAAATGGTGATGAGTTGTTTGAAAGTAATCAGATAGCTGATGAGGCTGTTAGGTTCTACAAATTCATGTTTGATAGGGTGGATCCTAATGTTCATCCTGACAGAGTGAAATTGGAAAATCTAATTTAGAAGAGACTTAGTGAGGAGGAGAAGATGTTTCTGGGTTCTTCTTTCACTGCAGATGATGTTAGAAGGGTGGTGATGCACATGGATCCTCATAAAGCACAAATGCCTGATGGGTTTTCAGCGGGATTCTATAGGAAAACATGGCCAATAATTGGTATGGATTTTACTACAGCTGTGTTGGACTTCTTTCAGTCCGGAAGGTTGACAGGTAGTGTAAATTCTGCTGCCATTACATTATTGCCTAAGATTCCCTCTGCCTGTGCCTTGAAGGACTTTAGACCAATCTCGTGCATTAATCTGTTATACAAAATAATTGCTAAATTGTTAGTTAATCGGTTGAAAAAGATTCTCCCTATAGTTATAAGTGGTAATCAATATGCTTTTATTGAGGGCAGAAGAATTGTGGATAATATACTCATGGCTCAGGAAATGGTGAGTAGATATCATAGATAACAGTTATCTTCACGTTGTGCTATCAAAGTAGATTTAAGGTTTAATACACTTGTATATCCAAAAGTATCACGGTTGTGCCAATAATATCCAAAAAACCGGAAATACCACTTATATCCATGTTTTAAAGTTGTTCTTTTCCAAATCTATCCATCTCCGTTAAATGCTTTGACGGCGTTAATAACTCCGTCAACATAGCTGACGGCAAGCTGATTGTACGCCAACTATGCAGACACGTAAGTGCCACCTACGCCAAAAGTGCCACGTAAGAGTGAATTAAAAAATAATAATTTTTAAAATAAAAAAAAACAAATCCCACATATTACCACTGACGACGAACAACGAGGTTGCTCTGAAATCCCTTTCTCCTTTCGTTTTTAGGGTTCGCACCCTGGCGGCGACAAAATCTCCTCCTGCCGACTGAGGCTCCTCCAGGCGATTTAAGATCCTCCCGCCGACTGTATATACTTCCTGAGATTGAAGATCCTCCCGCCGAGTGAAGATTTCGGATTCGTGGTTTTTGGCGATTTGGCGACTCCTGCGATTCTGGCGGATTTGGCGATTGGCGATTGGCGATCGGCGACCCAGATTCACGACAAAAGCGATTTCCAGACCCAGATTTCCATTTGTCGTAGGTGATTAACTACGACAAATGGAAATC